TATATATATCCGTATGCGTGTGCGAGTTTAGCTGTTTGAGTGTGTGTGTTAGTGTGTATGTATTTGTGCGATTTTTATCTAAACGTCTTCATTCGTGTGCGTATGCGAGTGTGGCTAGTCATGTGTGTGAAACGTACAACGTAGTTTGCACGTATTATTAGCAATGAATGTGTACTAGTATGCGTGTGTGTGGTACTGTTCGATGTTGGGTAGCCATCATATCTTCATCTTGAATAGCCATGACTGGCATCTTATCTGTGTGTATTGTGTGTAGTGTATGTTCATATGGAGTAGAGACATCCTAAACCATTGATGTGTGTTAGCTATAATCTATTTTTAGAAAAGCCTACTACCGGTACTTGATGCAAATCAACAAGCTTGTCCTCCACACACAGTTGTGGACCATCTCATGTGCGATATCCGCATACCTACTCGTGTGTTCTATTTATAGACTACTGATATACCTACCTGATACAGATTAGCGTACGAGTACTTTTCCGCATCTGCGCGATACAAGGGTATCTGGTGCACCGGCGTCTTACTGTTGTCCTCTCTGGCACCTGGACAGCAAAAAAAAAGGACCACAGTGTAAAAAAAATATAAATAAAAAGGACAAAGGAAGGCGTACATTTGTATGATACTAGAGTTTTAAACGTGTGCTCTTGTGCTCTTGTTTCGTATAAAAAAGGACCGCAATAGGGGCAACCGACTCATGTATGAGGTATTGTAAGGGTGCTTGACTATAGTACACTATGCCGTGAAAGGTACAGAACTTTGGCTGTACTATATAGGGAACATGTGACGTACCTGAAATGGCATACACACCCCACGCGAAGGGTTGTCGCAGATGGCTGAAGGGCGTCTCTAAGCCTGCATGTGGGACAGAAGGAACACATGTAGTATAAACATAAGTAGTGCACCATGTATATATGATAGTACTCTAATGCATGCAAGACAGAAGGAACACATGTAGTATAAACATAAGTAACGTACCATGTGTATATGATAGTACTCTAATAAACACATGTAGTATAAACATAAGTAATGCACCATGTATATATGATAGTACTCTAATGCATGTAAGACAGAAGGAATACATGAATACATGTAGTATAAACATAAGTAATAAACCATGTGTATATGATAGTATTCTAATGCGTGCAAGACAGAAGGAACACATGTAGTATAAGCACAAGTAATGTACCATGTATATATGATAGTACTCTAATGCATGCAAGACGAAGGAACACATGTAGTATAAACACAAGTAATGTACCATGTATATATGAAAGTACTCTTTGTACACTTATCCCTATATCTATATACCCCCTCTCTATAACTTTCCACACAAGAGGAAATGTATCTAAAAATAGATGTGAAGAGCAATATACCTACCTTGAGCATATTTTTCAAATGCTTTTTTGGCGGCTGGATCGGAGTACGGGTCTATGGCTGCGTTGGCTTCTCCCTGGAAACTCTTCTCAATCTGTAGCGCAGGCAGCGAAGGCAAACCACAAACATCACTCACAGAAAGAAATGGAAATGGGAATACTATGCGACGGTTCACGTCTCAGTTCTTGCTTTATATAACAATGGGGGTGTGTGCGTAAAGGCTCATAACTATATATATATATATATATATATGCAAACCTAGGGGATGGTAGGAGGACCCTCCACGACCCCGGTGTACGCTACAATAGCTCGTAGCTACCATCTTACATCCCTAAGTCACTCTCTCGAGAGAGTACGGATCTACGATAGGTGTGTAAAATTTGCTCCACTCTAGAGTGGGGTGCATTTCCGGTGTTGCTAGTAGTGTTATATTCTTACTCTTACTCTTATTTTTTACCGCGCGCGGCGCTAGGGCCGCGGGCCACCTCCGGGCGATGTCGAACTTGATCCTGAAGGGACTGCCCCCATGCAATGGGGGGTTGATCATAGCCTATCTGAGGAGTGACCCTTATTTCCTAGGGTCTCCCTCGAAGAGGGCACTCATATATATAT